AAAGTATTATTGGAACATGGCCATGTTCACTTGTTCACATGCTGTGTTTGGATGCTTTGCTCCCCAGAGCCTGTACCACCTGCAAAGCTGAAAACATTCACTCTCTGGTCTCACAGAGAAAGTCTGCTGATCCCTGCTCTAACATAAAAGTTGGAAGGCAGCAGTCACCTTGATTTTGAGGTGGAGGAGGGAGGGGGCAGAGGTGGAGCTCGGCGGCTGAGACTGCCGAAGAACCACTCACAAGAGCTGTGCGGGGCCGCTGAGAAACGTGTGCTCGAAACACAGCACTACACCTTTTTATTTCTATTTTCTATGATTTAATATATTTTTTTCATTGTAGATATACTGTAAGTAGAAATATGAATTTAGATTCATATAGACCTAGGTTTTAAAAGGCAAGCCAGCCTGGGAACTTAGCCACTATATATATATAAACATTAATTCTATTAAAGGAATGTTTAAAATTCCAGGTGAAAACAAACGTCTTGCAAGTGACATTTGGAATCTACTTTATTGGCGAGTTTGAAGTACCTGTATTCAAGCTGATGCCAACCCTGTGCCTTCTGGCACATGGGATATTTTAGCAAACAACCAAATGCACAAGCCTGCAAGGTTATTTCTCAATTTAAATGGACAAGATGGCATTTTTGAGCTAAGTTCTTTGTTGTGTGTGGGTGTGTACGGTGAGCAAAGACCCCCCTTTCTGGTTCTTACTCCCCTGGGGCGGAGGTGGCATGGTAGCCACATCTGGATCCTACAGTCAATCTAGATTCTTCCAGGACACCAGAGAGACTTGCCTTACAGGAGTCACAGCAGACACCCCGAGTCCCTTTCTAGGGCTGGCAGAGGACCAGTCTCTCACAGCTCACACAGGCAGCACTGGCAGGCATGTTTGGACTGCCCTCCCCCTTCAGATCACGGCACCCACAAGTCAGAAATACTTAACACTATCATGTGATGCAAAGAGAAAGTATAAGCTCTAAGGAGAGGGATCATGATGGAAACAACAAATAACTTAGAACTGAACACCAATAAAAACAGTACCTACCACACTTGAGGGATGAGATGAGTGGTACCAAGAGAGAAAATTACAGATTAAAATTCTTATATTAGAAAGGAAGAAAGAGTGAAAGTTAACGAGCTATTTTTATTTTCAACTCCTGAAGTGAAAAAGAACAAGAGACTAAACTTAAAGAAAATAGAAGGAAATAAACACAAGAAAAGAAATCACTGGAACACAAAACAAAGGTATAATAATGAAGCATAGCAACACAGCAAAAGTTGAAAACACTAAAGAAATTAACAAATGTCTTGTAGGATTAATCAAGCAAAAAGGGCAAAAGCAAATATATAATAATAGGAATGAAAAGGGAGACATATCTATACAGACAACAGAGATGAAAAATCATGAGAATGCTCTGAACAACTTCATGGAAATAAACGAGAAAACTGAAATGGACATCTTAGAAAAATACAGCAGATCGAAGCTAAGGTACAAAGAAATAGACAACCTGAATGATCCTATGATCATCAAAGTAATGGAATCTTAACCTTAAACCTACTCACACGAAACTCTACTTAAGCCCAGGCAATTTTAGAGGCCAATTCTACCCAGACACCCAAAGAACATGTAACTTTGTCTTACACAGATTGTCCCAGAGAATGGGAAATGAGGGCATACTCCCTAACTAATTTTATGAAGCTAGTATAAACTTGATACCTAAATCAGACAAGGGAAGTACAAGATAAAAAAGTTATAGGCCAAATTCACCCATGAATACAGATGGAGAACATTCTAAAGAAAATACTGATGAACTTGATGCCATAATGTTAAAGTAAATTACCAAGTTGGGTTGACCCAGCAACGCAAGGGTGGTTTGATGGGACATACTAATCAGGCAGTTCACCAGCTGACAGAGCAAAGGGGCAAAAACATAGGATCATGCAAGAGCTATAGAAAAACATTCCATAAAATTCACTGAATTCATTTCATTTACAAAAAAGAAAACTTAACCAAGTAGAATAGAACAGGAATTTCTATAAACTGATAAAGACTATCCAACCAAAAACTCTATAGCAAACATCATATTTAAAGGTGAAAAGTTAGATATGTTTCCTTTACTCTCAGGAATGAAACTAAGACGTCCACTTACATTCCTTTTTGCCAGTAACAAATGGTCAAAAGAAAGATTATCACTTAAAAGTACAAAACTATAAAGTTTCTCAGAGAAATGCTTGTGACTTTTATGCAGAAAGTTGTAAACCGTATTAACAGACATTAAAGAAGACTTAAACAGTGCAAAGACAGCCACGTTCGGGGATGGGGCGCTCAACACCACAGAGACGCAATTCTCCCAACTGACCCATCAATTCAACGCAATGCCAAACAGCATCCCAGGAAAGCTGCTGTGGAAACAGAAAAGCTGATTATATAAAATTTATACAGCAAAGCAAAGGCTAAGAAGAGCCAGGACAATTTTGAAGCAAATACAAACTGAGGACTTGGCTCAAGAGTGTAGCCGTCGCAGCAGGTGGCATGTGCTTCACAGAACAGGATGAGGAACCTCCACACGGACCCTAACAGGCACTCCACCGACGACAGTGGTGATGCTGGAGGTCACCGGAGAAAGGACAGACTACTGATGAAAGGTATGGGGACAAGTGGTGATCCGTATGAGAAAAAATAAAATTGGTTTCCTACACCTCACCACACAGATTTGATTCAAGATATATTAAAGACATATAAAAAAATGACAATTTAAAATTTTAGAAGAAAATACAAGAGAATATCTTGAAGACACTAAGAAAAGAAAGAATTCAAGACACAAAAAGGTGCAAGTTACATAGAAAAAGATAAATTAAAATATAAAACTTGTGTGGTACAAAAGATACAATAAATGAAGCCATAGATGGGAAGAGTTACTTTCAATGAATATATTTGATCAGGATTAGTATCCAGAATAAGGATATACTCCTAAAAATTGGTAAGAAAAGGATAAATAATGCAATGGCAAAATCTGTAGGGCACTGAAGAGGTAATTCACAGGCGTGGAAACACGGCAGCCCGCCAGACACGTGGGCTCTCCCTTGCTGAAACCCAGGGAGGCGCAGCGCCACCACAAGATGCCAGTTCTTGCATCCGACGGCAACAAGCCTGACCAGACCCAGCGTGGGGAGAACACGCAGCACAGGAACTTGTCCTCAGTGGAGCAGAAAGTGGCAGCACCTGTCGGGAGAGCCCTGACAGTGGCCGGTAAGGCTGCCCATGCACGTGCCCTTTGTGCAGTTTCACTGCTACTGACACAGCCAGACTCGCATGGGAGTCCGTGCTGGAGGGTGTCCACTGCAGCATGCTCCCACTCATATTTATTAGCACCTACTATGTGCCAGCACTGGATGTGGGGGGAGGACGTAGTAGTTGACAGAACAAAGTTCCTGGACTCATGGCTCTTATATTCCCGGGGAGAGAGAGACAGAGCCAGCCCAGATAGACAAGGACATATATAAGTCTGGCGGTAGAAAGTTCTCAGAAGAAAAACGAAACTGGAGAAGGGGGCAGAGAATGAGAGAGTGACCGTGGAAGGACTGTGCTAGACTCTGGCTGGGAGCCAGGAGGCTGCTTTCAAGGTGACACTGAGGCAGAATTCTGACTGAACCGAGGGAGCAGCCCAGAGAGTCTGGGAGCAGAGCTCTCGAGGCAAAGGGGTGGGGAGCCCAGAGGTGGGGGTGGGGGCGGGCCCAACTCCTGAGTTTGCTTATAGAAAACGGAGAACAAAAGAAGGGAAAATGAGAGCCAACCTGAGTGTCCATCAATAGGAGAAAGGACAGATGCTGCAGTTGTGGCAGACGATGAAAGTGAATGAACAAACTCGCATGGCCAGTGTGCGAAATATCGACTTGAGAGTAGAGAGAGAGGAGCGGCCTCATGAGGACACGCGCCGCATGACGCCACTGATACCACGTGTGTGGCATTAAAGCCCGCGCAAGGGCCCACAGCGAGTTCTGGGGGCGTCCCAACAGTGGACGACAAGGACAGCCTCGGAGGAGGGCGCTGGGGCCTTAACCGCCTGCAGCTCCTGAAGCCGGGAGTAAAACAAACACGCGGCCATGTGGCGGATTAGCCTCTCCAAATTTCTGCGTGTCTAAAGTACGTCTTAATATTAAACACAACTCCAAATGAGGCCTGCTACACCGCTCTGGAGGTCAGAACGAGACACAGAAGGCTCGCCTGGTTAGGTCCTAAGTTTGCCACAGCGATGTGAAGATTGAGATTTACACAGTGAGAAAATAAGGTGAATTTCTACTTCCTTGGCTATGTCAGCAGGCCCGGCAGTAGAGCCCAGGCGCACACCAGTCAAGGCAGAACAAGAGACGAAACTGACCCTGAATTCACTTGCAGTTTGTGGGCAGCTGGTGTGAAATTGCTGGGATGGGTGCGTGGAAGCACGGAGGAGACCCTGCCAGTAGGTGTGGGCAGGGAAACCTGAAGACGGAGGCCTTGTCTCCTCCCGGACCAGGGCCCTCCACTTGGGCGCCCACCTTCCCTGGGCGGGCATCGAGCTGCCGGATGCCATGCTGCCTATTAGATGCCAGCAGCCCCCATGGTCCCTGCTGTGACACCAAAATGTCTCCTGGGGGCAAAGCCACTCCGGCTGAGCACCACTGTCCTGTGATACTGGGAGTTCAGCACGCGTGAAGACGGACCGAAGGTTCTAGCAGTGTTCCCACACAACAAAGCCGGCTAGCCCAGACATCCCTGGGAGGGCTTGTAAAGTATCACCAGATCAAAATTAAAGTGACTGAAGCTTTCCTGCTGCCCACAGCAAAAGCTTCTTCTCACCTCCTCACATTTAACTTCCACCCTTCCACTGAGACAGCCCTCACGCCCCCTCACCTGATCAACATTAAGGTCCGTGCTGTCTCAGGGAGTAGAGAGCACCCCTGGGTGCCAAGAGGACAGATCGGGAAGCAGGGAGCAGAGCGAGGGCGGCGGGACTCACCTATGAGAGAGTTGAGGGAGGAGTAGGAGCTGACGCGGCGCATCTTGTCGATGGTCTCGAAGGAGAGGATGTACTCCTCATTCTCTGGGCTGCCCAGGGTGCTGCTGGCGCTGCTGCTGGTGCTCAGGTTTCCGGGGGAGAACGCCACAGAGCTGCCGGCTGGCCCAGACACCACGGCGAAAGGAAGTCAGTGTGGAGTTCCCAGGACCCTCCTTTTGGTCTCACAAGTAACGGCATATGACTGAAATGTGGGTTTCACGCACACCCCTCCCTAACCTCTGGAGGCGGGCTCGTTCCCCAGCATTCCGCCAGGCCACTGGAAGGCAGGCACGCCTGGCCCCGGGAGCCAACTCCGCTGTGCCTGTGCCTGCCTTCTGCAAGCCGTCAGGTGACCCCTGGCTGCGCCCGGGGCTGAACTACCACTTCTCTGTACGAACGCCTGCCAATCACCAGGGCAGCAGATGGGACAGCAGGGCACACACTCATGGCAGAGGAGGGGGGCACTTCTGCACATAAGATGTTTCAGAAAATAAACCCCACAACTGTTCCAACCCAAGAACCCAATTCCCAGTGTCTTACATTCTTCAGTCAAGCTCAGATTCTGCAAAGATTTGTTCAAGCTTCTAGCAGTGGTGACTGCCCGAATGTTTCCGTAGGAACTCACGGAACGGAGCCTGGGTGTGCAGGGGCTGTCCCGTACTGGGGTCAAACTCCCGCCCTCTAGTGGGAAAGAAGGAGAAAGAAGAGTTAATGGTGGGATCAGCTACACCGACAGGTGACAGCAGCTGGTCCCTGGATGAGCAGATGCCACCAGCAGGGCCTACAGCTCATCAAGGATCCCTGACACATGTGGGTAGGGGTGAGCCAGCCAAAGCTGGACAAAGTGCCAGCAGGGCGGGAGGGGAGGTGTAAGGAGCAAATGCCGGCCACTCTGTGAGAGTTCAATTAAGAAAGAGCAGGGAGCAGGGCTGGTGACCGTGGCCTCTCCGAGAGCAGCACCAGGCGCCCTGTGACGCACTGCGGCCGCTGCCCTGGAAGCTCAGCAGGGTCAGCGCTGGCAGGACCTCCATCTGCTGGCTCCGCGCTCCCTCTGGCGCACCAGCTGTTCCCAGTGAGCAAGTTCCCTCTCGGTTTCCCTTCCCTGATGCACTGAAAGCAGTCATGCTTTCCTTACTGATCACGAGCCCTCCTTCCTGCAGAGACGGCTGTGTTCTGGGGGGAGGGATGATGATGCAATGTAAATCCGGGAACATGGAAAATGTGAAAAAAGGAGCTGCCTAACATGACTCACTGAAGCACAAAACGGATGACAACGTGACGACATTACTCATCACAGGAAGAGAGGTAACATGCTTTTCTGTAAGCCCCTACTGCACGCAGTGTGCCATCCTTTGAGATTTCCAAAAAGGGTGAAAAGGAAGGGAAAGAGTCAGAGGGTCCGTGTGGCCCCTTTTCCCACTCTTTCTATTCTGCTAAATGCCTGGGAAGATGGGAGTCGCAGGGGCCACTCAAAACAGATATCTGAGCGGCAAGGACTTGATATCCGAGCCCAGGTTCCAGCCAAGCTGAGGAGTCCGCTGAGTTCCGACGCAGGGTCCCTGGTGTACAGGAACCGGCCAGGCGAGCTCCTCAGGCTTCACGAGTTACGATGCCGTACCTGTGGTTGCTGGGGAAGGCAAGGGGTAGTTCTTTTCCTCTTCCATGAACTGCAAGGCCACGGTGCAGAAATTGCTTTCGTACTGAACTACAAGATGACTCAGAGCCACCACCAGTTCCTGCCGAGAGGGAGAAGGGACAGTAACACTTACTGATGGCTGGAGGATGACCCCAGAAAAGCAGTGAGACTTAAAATTGAATGCCGGATGCTTGAGTCACCACAGAAAGAAGGAAGGTTAAGCCAAACTGGGCACTCCATGTATCACAGGCCACTGGCCACGGGGACCTCAAGGAATGCACCTGAATGCCTGACAGTGACAGCTGGCCACTGGATATGAGCAACACGGCTGGCAGGTTTCATAAGGACACAAGTATGGATGACACCCCCACAATGGGAAAGGCAAGAGACCCACAGCCTCCTGTATGTGGTCAGTCCTGTGACCAGGCCGAGACGCCCCTTGATTAGACTTGACAGTTTGCTGGGCCGTTTGAATCCTCGGCACAGTAAAGCAGATGCATCTGACAAGCTGAGGCATGCTCTTTTACTAAATGCAAAACTTTCACAGATATTTTAGTTTCTAGTCCCTAAAAAGGAACGAGGAAGTTCTAGAATGAAAACAAGATCTTTAGTCCCAATTGCCTCAGTCCAAGGAGATGAATACAATTTACCTCTCGGGACGGTTAGTGCTATAACATGAGTGCCTGGAGATCCTAAAAGTCATAGGGAAACAGAATTGGAATGTAGGTTTATACCACTTTTCTCATCACGGTTCAAATAGTTCCAACAACTTCAACTTTATCTGCTCTTTGTTCCCGCAAAATATCTAGCAGAAACCCAAGGTGTGTGAGAATGCTTGCTTGCTACGTAAATTCCCCTAGCCCCCCAAGGCTGGGAGAGCTCTGCTGAGGTGCCGAGGTCTCTGTAGCGGCTGGACAAGCCAGGCTCCGGACGGGGGCTCCTAGGGTCCTCTCACTCGCCGCCCCTCTCCTCTCCATTGAGGCTGCACCCACCTCGACCTCCCACGCTCCTTGCCTCTCCCGTCACAGTTGTGGACCACTACCGAGCCCACTCCTCGCTGTCCCATCTCTCCTCACGTTCCAGGCGGGCCTTTCCAACTGCTGGCCATGCATCTCCACCTATTGCTCACCCGAATCCTAAGCTTAACCCGCCCAGCTACCTGCCAGCAGCACCCCTTTCCATTCAGCTCCTGCCAGGGGCCTCTCGGCTTGTGCCCACGGAATCACAAACCACAAGCTCAGGTTAGAACTGCCCTGACCCAACCCTCTCTGCCCTAGCCCCACCTCCCGTCCTGTCAGTCCCCAAGTCTAACTGTGCTGAGCCTCCGGCGCCTGACGAGCTTCGCCATGCCCACTGCCAACACCCCAGGCTGGCACTTGTCTCCAGCTGCCAACATGGCTGCCTACCTCCTCCTGCAAACCAGAGCCCAGCCTGCATTTCCTGTGCGAGGGACTAACATGCTGCTGAGATGGGTCGCCCATGGGGCCACTCAGTGAAGATGAAGTCTGCATCATCTTCCAAAAACACCGTGTATTTTCCCCTTTGCTCTGATATAAAGTAAAAAAGCTCGTGCTGGGCCCTGAAACAGAGGACTTCACCCCTAGGTCCTGGACCCTTTGGTTCAGGGATACTCAACAAAGGGGAACACAAGAGCGTGGCCCACACCTGAGAGGCTGCATGCCAAGCAGTCCCTGCCGGGGAGGCAGGCCACTGGAGGGTGGCTGCTGCTGGCCGTGGGCTCCTGCCACGTCTGACAGCCCGCCTATTGGGCTTTACTCTGACCACAGAACACAGATGCGTGCATAGCCCCGGGATGCTGGTGCAGAAGGAATCAGAGGTCTGGCAGGAGTGTGCAGGACGGGACGCGGGGAGCTTGCTGTAGTCTCAGCTTTTGGAAGACGGTTCAACATAGCACTCTAGCATTTAGACACGCGACCCGTCCCCTCTGGCCAGCGGCATATCTCACCTGGGCGGCCTCAGCCTCTCATGGCAGAGTTGGTCCTGCCTTCCTCCAAACCTCTACCCTCTGCTCACACTCGGAACAAAACAAGGCCTTGCTCACCAGGGTCTCAGTTGCCTCCTGGCCCCTTGTGCCCACGTCCTCAATCCGGCATGGCCCTTTGAGCGAGCCGTGCCTCCCGCTCTGGGCCTTGGGACGCGCTACTCCTCTGCCTGGAAAGACCTCCCAACCCCCCCGGGCTCAGCCTTGCTTCCACCAGGCCGCTGCTCAGATACCTCCCCCGAGCGTCCTGCCTGCGCCCAGGGCCCCTCCAGACACTCTACCATCACCTGCTTTACTTTCCTTCCGAGCACGAGCCACCTGCCCCATCACATAGCGGTCTGTTCAGTCGCCAACCTGCCCCACCTCCAGGTGTGCGTTCTCCAGAGACTGGCACACAGGAAGGGTTAACAGGTGAACATTGTCACCTTTAGCACAGGGCTCATTGTGCAAAGTGAGGTGTCACAGGATTCAGGGACGTCATGCCTGGGCACATGCACTGCCCCCAGGGGCATCCAGCTAACGCTCCTCTGTGGTCACGTGGAAGGTGGGACCATGTGCCCTCCTGGGCTCCTCTCTGCGGTCTCTGCGCGCTGACTGCCACCTCCTCATCTCCTCCCCTGGGGGCTGCCCCCACTCCATGTTTCCAACAACAGAGTACTGGCTGGCATTTGTTTTGTGGCCCACGGCCATGGAGCGTCAGACTCGGCCCCTGGAACCGTGGCAGGACAGAGCAGTGCTCTGGGAGAAGAGCACGTTTGTTCCAATGAGGACACCCTCTGGGCTTGCTTCTAGGGAAAGGCGCTCTGGCCCAAGTGGCTCATCCCCCCGTGTCTCCTGGGCCCCAGGGGTGCCGAAGGGCAACAGCCTCTGAAATTGCATCCTCTCTCCCACCCACCACTGCCCCACTCTCCCTAACCCTCCACATGTCCTGTGTGTCCACAGCAAATATCACCTTGTCCACTTATTTAACAGGCCTGCTGCTGGCTGGCTGGCTCCCCGGTTAGCACGTAAACTCCTTGAAGGCAGTGAAGGGTCAGGGCCTGACGCGCTGCCTGTAACTCTGCAGACACTCAAACAGCTGTTCAAAGGATGAAGTCCTCAGGCACTGTTGCAGAAGGTGCACTCCTGGCAAACTGCCCTTGGGATTAGGAGCCCCCGCCCTGTAGCCTCACCATCACTGCCCCTCCCGCTTGCTCCATGCTCCAGCCACACGAACAATAGGCAGCCCCTGGGGGTGCCATGGTCTTTCACACCCCTGGGCCTTCGCACACACTCCTCCTGCCTCACCTGCTCCTTTCCTCACTGGCTCCTGGCTGCTCATCCTTCATAATCAAGGTACAAGTTCCTCCCTGTGAAAGCCTGCTGACCCCTCTCCCCCACAGGAGGTTGGGGCAGGCACCACTCTGATGCGTTCTGGAGAACTCCGGGCCTCCCTCTGAGATACTACTCATTTACAAGTGCTTCAGCACAGTCACTGGTCCCAAGTCTGCCTCTTTAACTAGACTGCATGCTCCTTGAAGGCAGGGCTGTCTTCCACTCTGCACTCCAGGGCCCCGTATGCAGAAGAACGCGACACTGAGCCCGGGAATGGATGAACAAGCAGAAGGAAGAAAGAGCCTTCTCTGCCTCTAGAGGAAGTCGCACCCCTGGTCAGCAGGACAGGCTCTGACATGCGGCCTGCACCTCTAGCATGCAGGCACAGCATGCAGCCCCCAGGCAAGGCAAATGCCATCCTGCCCGCAGTAAAGACTCAGTGACACGTGAGCACTCTAGTACCCAGAACCCACACCTCTGCAAAGGGACAGCGAATGGATCACAGCCGGAGGCCCAGCTGGCAGCCCAGGGGCCACCTGGAAGCACTCGGGGCTGCACTCGAGAGCACAGTGGTCCCAGTGGCTCCTGGTGACTTCAGTGACCACTCTCCTGATACTGGGAACTCAGAGGGACATTCTTTTTATTTTTATTAAAATTCATCTTTAAGTTTTTTGGAAAGAAGAAAAGCTTTCCTTTCTTTAAAGGAATGTTAACAGGCAACTAAAGCAAGGGCAGATTTGCTGCTTTGATCGGTGATGTTCATAATAAAGGCAATTTGAGGCAGGAACGAGAAGACTTTGGCTCGGGCTAACGAACGGGAACCAGCTTCAGACAGACTGGGGACGATGAGAACCTCAAGATAAGAATGCCAGGACCAAGGGAAGGGATCTCTAGCATCTCATTTCACATTTGTAACCTTTCTCTAGATCTCTGGCAGTTAATAACTTGGTTCATTCCTCTCTGAAGGGAACATGAGACAGAATGAGCCACTCCATGTTTGAGTCTGGCTGAAGTGAACTTGTCAGACAACGTCCCTCGCAAGGCAATCAGTGGGGTCTACTCTCCAAACAGGCAAACCAGTCCCAAACCACACCCGTCTTCTGACAACCCAGCCTCCCTCTCCCCAGGACAGCGATCTCAGCAATGCTGGGAGGGCAGCTGACACCTTGAGAGGATGAGATGCAAGTCCGTGGCCACCTCCAGAGAGCGCTGCCTTCCTGAGCACCGAACAGAGCAGTGTCTGCTCCAGGGCAGCCTTTCAAGTTCACCATGAGACACGACCACCAGCGTCCCTCCAGTGGCCCCTTGTGGCTGAGGGGGGGAGGGGGAATCAAGCTATGCTGAGCCAATTCCGACAGGGATGTGAGATCCTGGATGGAAATCCTTGATATTTCTACATCCAAACAGACAAGCACAAGTTTTCCACTTTATAGAACCGTTTCGTTCAGTTGCTGACAAACGTGGGGGCGGGGAGGGGAATACGCTACACGAAACTTTCCGTCTGTCTGTGGGTGTCTACTGCTCTTTTGAATCTCCATGATGTGTGTGTGCGTTGCTCCCAGGCAGGAAGGAGCCTATTATACAAGCTGCCAGTAGACGCAGCCTGTTAAATGCCTTTAAATGAAGCAAACACACGAGTATCTGGTGAAGAAATGCACTTTGGAGAGAAGGAAACACATTTAAATGTCTGCTCTCAAAAGGACGTGTGCCAGCAGGAAGGGAGCGCGCTCTGCGCGGTCAGGGTCACCGGCTCAGACCCTGGGTGTCGTGGGAGACTGGCTGCCAGGCGCTCTGCCGCTGCCTGCGGAGCTGGGGGGGCACACACCTTCCGGACCACGGGACTCCCGTCGTTGATCAGCTGGGCCAGCATCATGGCCACATTGTGGTCGATGGTGGTCGAGTGGTCGGTCCTCTCTGCAGAGTTGCCCACAAACGTCCCGAGGGCAAAGACTGCTGCGCAGCGCACCTGCAAGACAGGGACAGGGTCAGAGTCACGCCCACGGCTGGCTGTTTGGGTCTGAACTCTGCCAGGGCCACCCGTAGGGTAATCTGATTCAGTTCGGTTAATTCGATTCCAGGAGTTTCATTACACAGTCCTCGAAGCCCAGTTCTACTCATATTGATGGAGCAAAAATGGAGGAAGAGACAAAAGGAGGAATCCTCACGGCCCCAGCTCGAGGGGCTGGAGACAGATTGTAGAGGTCGGAAGTTCTGGAACCAAATGGGGCACCGGTAATCCATCAGTGAGTCAGACGGGGGTCCGGGGGACAAGGGCTGTGATGGGCATGGAGGGGGCAGTTTCTGGACGCGAGGCCACACGCAAGCGTGAGCAGGCCTCTGCTGGAGATACTGTCTACACAGTGGCCCTCCACACACAGCATCCGGGCAGGACTGCTGGCACAAAGTACCTGCTGGCCCTTAGCCTCACCTAGCCCGAAGCCACTGGGTGGGGATGGACTCACCTCAGGAATGGGGTCGGAGAGGAGGCTGCAGAGTTTCTCGTGAGCACTGTCCCTCACCCCACACCACCTAGCCGAGTCAAAATTCTGCCAGATCCGTCCTAGGCAGATGGCCACCCACTGGCGCAGCAAGGGGTGGGGGTCGTTGAGCTGCTCCAGGCAAATGGCGATCAAGTTTCCCTGGAGGCAGGCTTCCTATGAGAAGTCAGACAACACGCAGTGGGTCACCCGGAGAGGGGTGCTGGGCTGGGATCATAGCCCCCAAAGTTTCTTGTGGAAACTTTGCTTAATCACATTACAAGATTTGCTCAATTCCCCTCGTTTTAAATCCCACCAATTTCAATTCCAATTTACCCTGCAAACGGCTGGCTAAGCGAAGGGTCTGGGCCCTGCTCCTCCCATGGTGTCCCCTGGGGGCTGGTGTGCTCGTAACCCCCCACCAGTCGGAGGCTGTTTCATTAGACATTCAGTTCCTCTGATCCCTGAATACGGCAGCATGGTGCTGCGCCAGAGGGAGGCTCTGGATGGTGGCAGTGGCCGAGACACTCACCTGGCCTGTGTTATAGCTGTTGACAATCACAGCGAGAATGAAAGCCGTCATTGTCCTATGTTCAGCCTGGAAAACAAACGTCACCCCTGGTTTTACATTTTCCCCATGGAGGAAACTCATCATGCCCAAACACAACCAAGTTATCCTCTCAGAATCTTTCTGATGGGCTTGATTAAAGTAACATGAGCCTGCTTCCTGTCTTTTGATTTGAGTCTACAAAACAGGAACAGACTCTCTAAGAGGGTCTGGCAGCTTTGGGCTGGCCTCTCAGACGACAGGCTGCTCCTTGAAGCACTCATGCTACAGTCTGCCACGATTTTCTCCTAAGGTTGTGCTGTTAATGAGGAAGGCCCCTGACCGCGCAGCCCTCGCTCCTGCCCCAGGCCGCAGAAGCAGCCTGCTCCGAGTCAGCACACTGCAGTAAAACGAAGGACTGTTGCATCCTAACTTGGCTCCATGTTTTCCTCTTTCTGGTCTTCTACTGGTGGGACCAATTTTCATTCTCTCCTTTCCTCTGGCCTCTGCTGCCTTAGAAATCAGTCAGTCTGTTTTGAACTGTGTAATGGTGCCTTATGTTTCTAACATCCATACTGAACAAAGTCTTAATTATTCTATCTCCCTTGGATGAATGCAAGGCTCTTAGGGTGCCTTAATTCTGACATTCCTCCTCATGTGTTAACCCCTCAAATTAGCAATTATGATGATTTATTTTTACAGCCGATGCTTAATATGCCAACATATCTGCCAGTTTCTTAGCTTTTTGCTGCTTCCTGCATCCTGCTTTTCCCTGGGGCTTCAACTTCCTCTTGAAATACGGTCTTCACAGCTCTCTTTGGTGGGGTCAGAACAGCTCAGCTGTCAGTCTCCTAAATGTGTTGGCTTCACCGGCATTCCTGAATGGCACCACAGCTGGTACAGAGCTCCAGGCGATGGTCAGTCTCCTTGAGTGCTCTGAAGGCCTTTGCCACTGTTCTCTGTGCTCTGTTACTGCTGATGGAAAGTCTGCTGCCTGTGCACTTGTTCCTCCTTTGCAAACAACCTTTCCTTTTGCTCTGGTTACTTTTAGATTTCCCCTTGGCCTTTGACACGCTCTACTTCCATTATGATGAGTCTGGCTATGGATTTGTTTTTATTTAACTTTCTCAAGATTCACTGTACTTTTTAAATCTGAAAACTCACTTCTTTCTTCAAACCTGGAAAGTTCTCAGCCCCAGTCAGTTCGAATACTGCTTCCCTGCTCCCTCTGGTCTCTTGTCCTGGGGGTGTCGTGAGCCTCTGCTGCCTGTGTCTACTGCTGCCTGATGCATCCACGGAGCTTTGAATGGCAGTGATCATATCTTCCACTACAGGTTCTTTTTCTCCCCCTAGATCTGCCTATTTATTAAAAGAATCTAGTTGGTCACTTTTGAGGGTGAGTAAAAGTAAGAGCATACACTGTCTTTGTATGAGCAGAAGTGCTTCTGAAGAAACATCACAGTGGTTTATTTTTGGACATAATTAAAACAAGTCGTTTTCCTCAATCATTTTAAACATACGTGTTTATATTGCTTTTATATTCTATTAGTTTCAGTTATCAGGTGCTAGCTCTCTGCGCTGGCCCTGCTCGTTCCCTTTCCGGTGGGCTCTCCTGACGGTGGCAAGAGCGGGCTGTGTTTCTGGCATGAGTGTCCTGTGCCAGCACTGCGCACGAGTCCCTGTAGAAAGGTCTTGCCTTCGCTCTTCCAGTACCCTGGTGATTTCAGTGACCCTGAACGAGTTTTACACCCACTTTTTTGGCTGGTGGCTCTCACCCACAGGATGCGTGTAAGTGCAGACCCAACTCCCCGGCGGGAAGGCCAAGGGTCCTGTCTCTCATGGAGGCCTTCCCTTTAACTCTCCGCCCAGATGTGGAGGATGGGAGTAGCTGTTTGCGTCCTCTGTTGATGAGTAGGGGGTGCGCCTCGTGGGCTCCCGGCTTCCAGCAGGGGTGTTGCCTTCTGAGACACCGCCTCTCGGGTCTGCGAGATGCGAGGAACCCCAGTGCTCGCTTCTCGCCATGGCTCTCCGCTGACCCCTCTCTTCAGGTTTTGGCATTTGGGAATTTCCTCTTTTTTCTTTCAAATTTGGCCGTGTCCTCCAAACTCTAACGTGTCTGTAGTTGAAGTGGGGCCCATTGCATCAGCTCAGCTCACCATTTTACTGCATTTTATCAGTTTAGCATTCTTTTTCATTTGTTTGATTTATATTCTTACCCACCCTGAAGAACAGGGAAGTGCTTATTTCCAGAACTCATATAGAGTATAAACTTAAACTGCCTATGATGATGTTTAAACACCACACTTAAGTTAAAACACACAAATACTATTTACCTTTTACATAACAATCCTGTTTTTAATGTTTTCTGTTTTTTTGTTATTGTTATCATTATTTAGTTTAGAAAACCAACTAGAGGGTGAAATTACATACAAAAGTTCCTTTATACAACCAAAGCCACCTAAGAGTATGTCAATGAGCTGTTATACTTAGTTAAATATTCTAGTAAAACCAAGTTATATTAAGTAATTATTTAGGATGTCTATTTTGTTCTCTTTACTATGCTAGGAGCTGGAAGTAGGGAATAAAGAAATTAATTATAAAACATTTATAGGAATTCCTATAATGCTATTCACAGATTACTAATTTTTAAGCAATTTAATATAATAAAATATATTTAAACTTTCAATCTCTTCTTTTCTTCCCTCCCTTCCACCCTGATTCATAAGGCACATGAGCATCTTGCCACACCCTAACAACTGCACTAGGCACAGGAACTATCATATAGTAGAGGGACAAGCACTCATTAATCTAATTCAGTTGACAAGATGCGAGGGAGAGTGCATTCCACTATACTGCAAAGATGTTCCAGGGAAAATAGACTAACATAAACAAAACCAAACCAACCTGTACATCAAGGTTAACTATATCCTGATTTAGAGACAGCCATGAAACAGCTACTGAAATAATGTGCTATTAAGTAAAGAGCAGTAGCTCAAGTGTGAACGTGGCCCCCACAGCGTGGCCCACACCCCCGCAGGCCCCTCTGCTTGGATGGGTGAGTGGCGAGGAGCAACCCTCTCTGCAGTCCTCGTAAAAGGCATCACAGTAGCATAACACGTGGGCGGAGACAAACGATACAGATCGTGAGACTGTCCAAAAGACAAATGACACTTGGTCCTTACTGGCATGTAAGGGTCTGCCAAGACCGAAAGGAAATATTTGTGACCGTTGTCCTTCACCAGGTCAGCTTGACATGACTGGGGAGAAAAAAGAGACAGAGGAGGAGCAGTGAGTGTGGTTACCTGGAAGGGGTTCTTTCTGTTGCTTGTGATGTACGAACAAATGAATGTGCAATGAATATTTTATGCCTTAATCATTTTCTCCTCTCAAGTCCAATTTTCATTTGGAAAAACGGCTAGAATGGTTGCTTGCAGACACATTTTCCCTGGCTGTGGGAAAAGAGCTGGGATCTTGCACATTCTCAGAAGCGCAGCAGCTCTAAGACGTTCTCTGAGAACACCTTCCGGGCACTAACAGGTAGGGTGCCCTGGCCGCTGGGCCGGCTCCTTCGCAGGGCCATCCTCCTGCGGCCTCTACCCACGCCTTCCCTTCCCAGGTGCTCCCGGGGCCCACTCCTGTCCTCTTGCCCTCCCAGCTGGGATATGCCCAGCACTTGAAACTACGCCTGGTTTCTGCAGGCCTCGGCCCCTGCTGAAGCTTTTCTTGGGATTTTGCTAGGACTTAGAAAATAGTGAAGAACAATAACCTGTGTGAATATAACAATTACAAATTATTTGTGTCACATGGTTATATTTTAACAGGTGCTTCCTGGAGGCCCAACTCCTTCCTCCAAAGGAATAGCTCTCGGGTGGGAATCTAGATTTTAAATGCTAAACGAGCTGCCAGGCACGCAGTTCTTCCCCACTCTTGGGTCGCCCTGCCCCTGCAAGCACCATCACGTCTCTGCGTTCATCTGCTCCTCACACACCTGAGGACCCACCAGGTGCCAAGCACTGGCTTGGTCCTGCAGACAGAGACACAGCTTGTGCCCTGCTCACAGTTCAGGAGAAGGCTACTGAGGAGCAGTCACGACACTTGATGAGGAGACACTCGGGGCATGGGGGGCTCAGGGAGAGGGGAGGGGGGTTGCGCGCTTTCTGGAGGAGATGCCTAAGCTGAGGAGCAGTGGGGATTATCCACGGAGGAAGGACAGATGGGGGAACAGAGGCGATGGGGAGGGCTGGGGGAGGCAGGAGATGGTCAGCACAGGGCTTCGAATGTTGTCCTGAGGAGGCCTTGAAGAGGCCTGCGGGGGCTGAAACCCGGGAGGGTCAAGGCATTCGGACCGCAGGTCGGAGTCATGCTGGAACTGCAATGGAGGTGAGTCAGAAGGGCTGGACCGGAAATGGGGAGGCACACATAGCACAGACAGAGGGGACGGGGATGATCCTGGAGAGATGAGGAGACTGTTCTGGCGGGATCTGGTGGGAGGGGCTGGGCGAGACCACTAAAGAGGTGGGTGCCATCTTCCAGGGGAGCACGGAGGATGAGGAGTCCCATCTGGAGTATCCCACATTCGAGGCACCTCTGAGACACAAGCAGAGCCGTCAGAAGGAAGGTGGCCACGCACAATTTGAGGTGTAGGGCATGACCTGTGCTGGCCCTCTAGATTAGAAGTCGCACGCACATCGGGCGGGCCCCCAATGCAGCAGAGGGGGAGGCTGCTCCTCTAGAGCACAGAGGATGGGCCCTGGGGGACGGGAGACAGGGCGAGGGAAGAGGCTTCCAGGTGGCTGTAGGATTGAGGAGTCGTGGGGATGCCGGGGGAAGCCACTGGCTCTTAGGTGGCCGTGAGTATTGCTGGAAGCCCTGCTTTCATGCCAGGCTGGCTGATCTGGGGGCATTTCTGCCAGTGCTGGTTCTTCAAGGGACTGAAACAAGCACGCCTTGCATATTCTGGGGCTGAGGATAACATCTGGGGAGGGTTCAGGCCCTCAGCGCTGAGGAAAAGGTTTCTATTCGCATGGAGGAGAGGACGGGGGCAGGACTTGGAGCGAAGAATTAGGCTCCCAGCCAGGTCTCCCTCTCGCTAGCTGTGGGATGCCAGCAAAACTGAAGAAATCTCTGCTCAATTAGCTGAATCATAGATTAAACATATAACAGGTAAGAGCGACTCAAAAGATTGGAAAGTGACATACAAAGTACAAATGCTCTCATTCTTGGAGAAGGTGACCCACATAATGTAGTCATAATGGTAACTAGGCTTCTTGGATTAACATCCAGAAAAACTGATTAGTGTGACATTTGGGGTAATGTGTACACAGACAGATGTTAAATTTCACCAGCTCCCAGCATGCTCCACCCTGGAAGATGAAGGCAACTGAAGAAGAAGTGAGGATTGGAATTTTAAGAACTGAGTTTCTGAGAATAAGAGGACACAGTTATGTACTGCAGTATATTCCTGGATCACCAGAGCCCCCACTGGCTTGGAGCTTCTCCTGCAATGAAGCCCCCTCTCACAGACGCAGAGGTGGTTTTGCAGATGGAATCTGCTGGCTACCTCAGCCCAGAACCCCTGAACCCCCATGCCTCTCCCGCACTGCCCTATTTCTCAGGGGTGCTCTGATAATTAGGTGTTTCTTCCTCACATCAATAAACTGATAAGGCAGGCTACTGGACTCGGCTGTTTAAGTGGGAGTTAAGCGAGATGGAGACGAGCGGTCAGGAAGCAGTGGGCACCGGGGGCTCAGGTTAGCAGGCTAATTCCCGAAAAGCCAGAGAAGCCAATTAAGCACATGGTGTTCAAGTAATACCCAGAAGGGACTCCTTGCTTTGAACGGAGGCTTTGACAAATGAACCAAAGGCATCAACATGATATCCTCCCTGTAAAGACTCAGCCCAGAAGAGACAGGGAGAGAGAACTCGCTCACCAGCGCAGCACTGGTGCCCCAGGTACACTGGTTAGGCACCCGATTCTGAGAATAAAGGCACCTTTCTTTGTTTTTAAACCAGAGATTCGACAAGTCAAATCAAAGCCCACACGTTTACAGTGAAGCTCCTTAAACGTGTCTCATCAAAGAGGAATAAAGTGTCACTAATTCATATCTTACTAATTCTGAATTTGAGGCACACATGTCACGGTATCTGAAACCATAACTTCAATATGCCTTCAATATTGGAGGCTGGTGGTTATTTTGTTTATATTAAAAGCTCTCTGTTTTGATGAGTCTGTCATGCCAGGAAGGGAGCACCAACAAAGCCACCTTTTCACACGTCTGCCTTCACTTTCAGTTCTCAGCAGTGGTCATTTATGAATTGGTTTAGAATCCGCTCACACTTTCCCCAAGTCACCTGTCCCCCCCTGCCCTCCTGTGCACACGTGCAGGCTCCGCGGCACCTCCTTCCAGGGTGCGGGGACACATGCTCTTGGCCGCCTGACTCAGGCCAAGTACCTCATTACAAGAGAAAATAAGGCCTTCAACTATAAAGGTGCAGAAATGGGCCCAACAGATGACAGCCTTTGCAAGCACAGGCTCGGTGGAAAAGTACCCAAAGAGACACAGGCACTCGCAGCCAAGAATGCTCCAAAGCAGCTGCTTTCCAAGGGCTCTGCCTTGTTGTTTTGTCTGTTTGCTTTTCCCCCAGATCAAGCTACAGGTATGACATATTAAGGCCAGAGAGAAAGGAAGGTGGAGGAGGGGAAGAAGCATGAACATGAAAGGGTTTACCTAAGCAAACCCTTCCCCCACACAGCAAACCCAGCTCTAACTTGTCTTTAATTCTCCACACGGCTCTGATTCTTCTGTCTCAGGACTTCAGGGAATTAAATTTTTTAAATGGGGAAGAGGGAGGAGAGGAAGAGAAGAGAAGAAAAGCAAAGAGAAGAAGGAAGCAAACACATATTTCATTGCGGCAGCAAGTACAGATACGGTTTGCAAACAGACGTAAGGATGGAGCAGAGACCAGGAGGAACTCGACCAAAGACCCTGGTTTCTGTGGGGTAAGTTTATAAGGCGAGTGCAGGTGTTCCTCCTCGGAACATTCCAGCAAAGAATGCTGTGGGGAGAGACCCTGCCTTCATTCTCCTTAATGCAGATTATCAAGTCTATTTTATGGGGGAGCAGGAAGCAAACTGAACAAAGCCTAACAGACCAGCATGCGTGATGAATCTAACGAGGTCCAAGTCAGCAGGGCCATCCTGAGCAATTCCACCAACGGACGCAGCCACTCATGTTCTCATGTTCTCATGGAGACAATCACACAGGGCGAGGCCGTGTCTCCTGCCCACGGGCCACAGAGTTCACTCCTTGTGATGAGGAAAGGATGCAGCAGTGCTGGACAGGCAGGGCAGTGTCCAACTAGAGAAAGGAGCCTCTGCTCCATTATTACCAGAACATGAGATGCCCCGGGGAATCCATCTGGAGACAGACGCAGGACTAGGTTGGGAGGTTTATATGCCCAGAATTTTAACAACCATGTGTGGCCATGAAACTAGTAGTGCCGGAGAAAATAACCCCAGAGCAGGGATTTCTGCTCACTGGTCGCAGGAGCTCACGGCTCTTCACAGACTCTGCAACACACGCCTCAGCAGTTACAGACGCCCCTGCCTCCGCACGCCTCGAACCCTCAGCACAGCTGACGGCCCATTTGCCAGGGGTAGCAAGATATTTAAATGTACAGAGATTTTCATTTTCCAACAAATGTTGATTATTTTAAATATTCAAAATGCCTTGTAGCTATTCTCACGTCAGATGCTCCTGTGTGGAAGGTAAGCTTCAGAATAAAAAGACACCTTGAATGCTGAAATACCTGTTACCAGTGGGAAAATCACTGGCATGTATGAACCCTTCGATGCCTTCAATCTTCCTTCTTGTACATAAAATGTACAAGATTCTTGTTCTAAAATGCGTAAACACATTTAAAGTATCTATATATATATATGAAAAACATTTTAAAAAGCATATTTTCCAAGTATATACATATGAATATATTTATAAATGAATACATTTACATGTGTAAATACACCCTGTAAACACGGTACCGAAAGGTACAGATTGAGAAGTCCTCCTCCTTCACCACTATATGTAATCACTTCGTTAGTTTCTTATTTAATCTTCTGGTCTTTCTTCCTGTAAACATAAGAAAATGTGAATGTACAGACTGAGCCACTGTTCTTAAACGAAGGACCCCTGCATCCGAAGTCCTGCACTTTGCTGTTCTTCACGTGAGGCGCTCTCACCACATCCGCTCGTGGAGA